GCTAGGAAATTGGATGAAACCCAAGCGCTCTTCTGCTGTTGCTATGATACGGAGGAGAGCCTAAGCTATCTTCTGCTGTTGCTGTGTTACGGAAGAAAACCGAAACCGTCTTCTACTGTTGCTAGTATGCGGGGAAACCCCAAAATCCTACGCTGTTGCTAGGATACTGGAGTAAATCCAGTCTTATCATCCGCCGTTGCTAGATAAGGGAGATGAATTGCGATAGTATGAACATGGGAAAGAAAGAAGTGAGAAAAGACGGAAGGAGACGAAGGTACAAAATGGATAAGGGTACGGAAGGGCGGAGATGAGGGAATTGTTTCAGCTCGACGGAGGGAGAAGAAGAGAAGGGGGGGGGAATAATAATAATAATAATAATAATAATAGAACGGACAAGGGATGGAAAAGAAAGAATGGAAAGAGATAAAACACGAACGGTTATACAGAAAAGGAAGAAGGAAATGGTTACCTCTCGTCAAATTTGACGTGTAATGTAAGTACCGGCAACAGCCACGGATAACAAGAGAGTTTCCAAAATTACAGTGCAGGTTTTTATTGCACAGGAACATAAGTAATCTATATGAATATGGATCAGTCGTAAGGTTTTCTATGAAAACCGTAGCTAGAGGTGGGAAATGACAAATTTCTGCAGTGAAATTTCAGTGGTTTTATGCTGGTCTGAAATAAAATAGTTAAACAGCCATTCACTAGACTTATCAACAGGTGATTCCTTTGTCCTTTCATTTTTCTTTTAATCACAGTTTTTTTTTGCTTGCTTAACGACCCTTCCGCCGGTTAAGATTATAAAGCATCGATACTGAAGCAGTGTGGTTCATTTGTAACTCAGTATTTAAAACATTGCATTTACTATATCTTCAGTAACTTATATATATGTTCTATTTTCTTTATTCATCCGTATTATAATATGTTTGTCACCGACACTATGAATATCTCATAAATGCTGAAACCTCTCTCATAACCTGCCTTGTCATATGTTACACAGCACGTCTCGGAGTTGTGAAACGAGGCACTGTTAGCCCACAAAGAAATATATGAAACAGATTAGATTTTAGATTAACCACTTTGGTTTATTACTGTTGCAAGCCCACTAACATGAATGAGCTGACTGCTGAGTCGTAGGCCTTCAGTTGTTCCACCCTCTGCGGTTTTCCTGTTATGACGATTATTGAATTACTGCAGCTAGGAACGTGCTGTTTGGATTTACGTTGACTAGTAATGTCTCTTTTTAAGTTTTGTTTGTAGCTGTGTGTGTGTTGAAAGTTATTAGAACTGAGAACGAATTCAAAATTGAAGTTGCAAAACCTAAAATGAGGCTTGGGAGACCTTTGCGCAAATAGAAGATGTTATGGCTAAACTCCTAACCCCCATGCACATTTAAGACATTTTTTGGACGTTCTAGATAGAACTAAGACGTTGGGTGGCATATAATACAGTTTATATGAGCTGAAGTTGCAACATAACACAAATTTTGAAGGGAGTATGGAGGTCGCTGTTCTGTATTGATGTAATCGAAGCAAGTACCGAATATCAGTGGTATACGTGAGGAGGACATGCTGTGTAAAAGCATATCAGAGTGGTGCTTCATTGCACATTGCACCCACCGCCATGAAGCCCTAATGTCTGTGATCAATACTGGCTGCATTCTGCAATCCAAGTAAGAAAGCTGAGAAACCGAACTGAAGCCAAAATTGGGGAGGAACGTTATATGGTTAGACAGACTGGTAGATTTAAGCAAGTCTGTGAACACTGAGCAACATGGAATAATATTATTCAAATGTGAGTGTAATTTACTTTGTTTTTAAGTGCAGTTTATAATCAATGGCTCTGTCTTTGCTTAGTAGTAAACCTTACTATGATACCCACACTCAGCACTTAGGAGCGCCTCCTATACGTTAGAATTCCTAGAAAGCGTGACCTTATGGTCTGGTATCAGCGAACCATAGAGAGAGGTTCAGGCGTCGGAACCCTGTACCAAATGTCCTTTCCTTCCTGTTTATTGCAAGTAAGCGACATCGGAGAGATTTAGGGAACTTTCTCCCCCGGTGATGTGCGCTTTACAAGGCATGGCAGCGGCAGGATATCTGCCCCCTCTATCCTCGACTACTGCAGAAGTATAATAGCACATGTACTTCCCGATCCCTATTCTTCAGATGCCGGTCACGGTAGCTGAGCGCTCTAAGGCATGGACTGTCTTCGCTCGCTCGGAATCCGGGATCGTGGGTCCAAATCCCACACAAGACATGGATGCTTGGTGTGTGTATGCGTTTATTGGCTGTTTGTGTTGTCCTGTGTTTAGGTACAGACCTTGCGACGAGCTGATCACCCGTCCAGGGAGTCCTACCGTCTGTAAAAATGATCAATGGGACTGATAAAGAAGCCCTATGCTCCAAAGTTGGAGCTAAGAGGAAGCAAAAAAAAATGTTTTATATAGAAGGCATCTTCTGACTTAAGGCATATGACAAGGAGGTATTTTCGGAGACTGCATTCGGACTTACTGAAACGTTGTTACTGTAAGTTATTTTCAGAGGTACCAATGCACATGCTAGTAGCATAAAAGATAACAATTTCAACATAACATTTCATTATACGGCTAATAGCTCGAACATACAGTGGTCTTCATAAAAGATAAACGGTGGAAACAGTGATAATAGATAACAAGTTTCGAATTGTATGCGAAGCCCACTTGTAATTTTATTTATTTCACAACCTATAGTCCATTCGCGGAGACGAGAGAGTCCTCGTAAACAAATGCACGCGGTATCTCCTTCGCTCTTTGAATGAAATCATGCAGCGATCACGCGATGCGTGTACCGTTGCAGGGGCGTTCAAAGTTCAGTCTGAATGCAGGTTAATGTGGGTCCGAATGCAGTGAGTACACTGAAGTAACTGCGCGCTTTGTCCACTCCTTGCTGTCAGCTGTGGCGAAGCGGGGCTTGCTTTCTTTACGCTGTCTCGTCTCCGCGAATGGACTATAGATCTCGCACTTGTTCAATGTAATTCAAAGAACAGAGCCCTAAACCCGGCGAGTTTTGTTGCACCATTTGATAGAGGGTCAAATTAATGTCGCAGTTAACTTCGATACACGTGGTATAGTGAAATGAGTTTTGAAGTGATCATGTTCAAGGCATACTCGTGTGCCTTCAGGCCTGTTATTCCACTTACGTTGAAGTTACAATGAGAATAGAGGCCCTATTCAAGAGCAGATGAAACGATGAACATACTGAGGTGACAGATGAACGTGAGAGATGAATTCTAGTCTCTCAGATATGGTGATGAACAGGGTGAATGGCGTGTCCGGACCTCACCACCTGCTCGTGGAACCCGGTGTGTTTGTCAGCGGTGTAGTGTACTGTACGGGCGGTGCCATCCGGTTCTACCAACTGCGACAGTTTCGCCGTCAACGTTTCTCAACCTGCTTCTTTGAGGTCACGAATGTGTTTCCTTCATTCCGTACTTGACCTCGTGCATGGGATGGCCCTGAATAGACTAATTATAACTTAATATTTATTTAAA